TGTGGTTATTAGTCGCCTGATCGGCCCACAAGAAGTCCAATTCAGTCCAGGTTGTGCACTCTGTCTCAATTCACATTTGAGCCGGTTAGGCAGAGTCATTCGTCTTGCGATTATGGTTGGTTTGTTTTTTACTGTCCCGCTAGCTATCACCCTGATCAGCTACGGAAGGGTGATCAAAAAGATTGGAAAACACAAAAGGGGCATCGGCCATGTTCATCAAACACACCCACCAACTATAAGAATTAGTTCGCGTGAGATTCGAATCAACAAGTCGTTGTGTATAATAATATTCGCTTTTGTACTATGTTTTACCCCTCTTTGGACCATTTCTATTTTAACTCGGCTACGTATAGTGGAAAAAGTGCCACGAAATCTGGAATTGCTTTGTTCTTTTTGCTTGGCGTTGTCCAACACCGTTAACCCTTTCATTTATGCAGGGGTAAATCCTGTGTTCAAAAGGGAGTTCCAGAGGATACTTCGATGCAAATCACCCAACACAATTCAGGCCATTTCAACAGAATCAGCAAGCCGCAGAGCAAAGTCAACAATTACTAACGGAAACAGCCAGTCAGTAGTTTAGTTTTGTTTTTAAAATGATTTTCCTACATGATACAAGACATATATATAGAATGCGTGTTTGAAAGTTCAAACTTCAAGCTAGTCATTTATTCTTACACTTTTACTCAAACGTACATGCGAAATACAATAATATTAGGAGAACAGGAGGTTTTTTTTAAATGGCGTTCGTCAGAACGCTTCCTAATCTGGTGTTCGTGTGGCACAGAGGCTGAAATCTTCGAGCTATCACGGGTGACTGCCGATTAGCCGTCCCTATTAATTTTAGCAGGGGTAACGCAGCCGCAAAAAGCTGGACTCCTTTGGACTCGTTTTCGTCTCATTTAGTATCGTTTTCGTGAAGATGTTATGCTCCTACAATGTTTGCAAAGTATCAGTAGTTTTGACTCATTTTGATTTTAATATGTACCTTTGTTTGCCATGCAAAGCCCCGGCTTAACTCATAGATAGGGATATACAAGAGCGCATTACAGCTCCGGTTTGAGTGCATTCATAGTATACACGTATAATTTGCGCTTGAACAAAATTCCAACATTTTTGTCTGTTTGTTTTTAATGTGTTAGAGTTTCGTCGAATATTTAATCTGCGTTTTTTTTTTCTATCTTACAAATTGTTCTCCTACGCTTATATTTTGTTTCTTGGTTGAGGCTGTTATCTTGCAATTTATTGGTCTTCTTAAAGTCAATTGACAACATTTTGAGCTGCAAAGATTTTTAGGACCTTGCCAAGTTCTTTATTAGTAATTTTTTTCAATTTATCTGCGTCCTTGGAAAAATAAAAAATATTTGTATCATCTGCGAAGATGAATAGGTTAATTTGTTTAAAGCCTTGGGCAAGTCAATCATATACAGCAGATAAACAACAGTGGTCCTGTTTTACACCCTTGAGGCACAACACATGTTATATTCTGGCTAGACTCTGTATCACCAACTTTGATTTATTGCTTACGATTAGTCGAATAGCTTGAAAACCATGTATGGAGGAGTCTTCAAATCCCGGCCATATTTACTTAGTTTTCGTAGTAGCGGAGCTCCATACGCGCGCGAGCAGGTTCGTGTTCACCTTTTCAGTCATATGGTTCTCCCTAAAGTTAAGGATAGATTTGTGGATTTCTTTTCAATGGTTTAAAGTTCATTATCCTAAGTAAATTTAAAATGCATAAACGGGAGCTTCGCTTTTCGCGATGGCCAAATCTATATATTTGAGTATGGTGGTTGATTGTATTGAAGGCCTTTCAAATTTTAAAATCTAAGACATGCTATTTTTTATTATTAATTGCTGATTTTAAATTCTCCAGGAGTTTCTAAAATGGCACACGCAGTGAAATATCCCTTTCTAAAAATCGAGCCGAAAGTAAAACGTAGACATTCTTTCTCCAGGTAGGACACAAGCTGGTCATTCACCAGACTTTCCGGTACTTTATTGAAAGGAGAAATGACAGCTATTGGTCGGTAATTTCGTAACTCTTACTACCACTTTTAAAAATGTAGTCAGAAGAAAATCAATCTTGATCAATCTGAGGACTTAAAGGGTTAAGAGCATTTTCATCCATACTGGTCCGGTTAAGTTCCAATTTGCCTTAGCATAAAGGTTATAGGTTGCCGGGAGCATTATATTAAACAGTATGTAAGTTAATTCAATGGTGGTAACTTTTTCCTTTTCCAATACATGTCAACGAATCAAGAAATGGTGTATTGTACCGGATCAAATTCCTCAAAACAAGAGCCTTTTTGTCCTAGGGGTTGCTGTGGAAACCACGCCGAACAGTCTGAGCATGATCGTTTAATTTTCGGGGGGAGGAGAGGGTATCTTCTCTGACGCGATGCTATTTTAACTGGGGTACTGTTTATACACGAAAATAAAGAAGAAAAATAGAAAAATTCACAAAAAAATTATAACAGTTTCTTTAGTTAAATGCATTTTAATTGAATTTCTTTACATGCAGTTCATTTTTCTACAATGAGTGTTTGTCCTGAATATACAGCTGAGCTTATGTTGAATTTGTTCCTCTAAGTGGCTAACTTCATCTTGCAGAATGAAGGCTATGGTAAACCTATGAGTAAAGAAAGTACACAATATAAAAAAAAATGCTCGCTTCAACTTTAGTACTGGAAAGAATGTCAACACGTCTGCACCAACTAAATTAAACTATTTCCCTAATCAAAGTTTTAAAAATCATAAAATTTAAACAAAAAACAAACCATGTTTCAGGGTATTTCAGGGCAAATTTTGGAGCTATTCTTAAGGCTCTTTTTGCCTCGGATTTTTTGTGATTCCTATACACTAGAAGAACCCGTATTCGATTAATATTGATCGAAAGAGATACTGATAGGCTAATTAAAACTGACAGCGATTCATGTATTTGCCTGGTTCTGATGAGCGTATGACTCAGTTTTACAAGGACATTGAAAACTGACAAGCAATACTTGTGCAATATCCTACTTCATTAATATTTGATGTCTAACCTTTTGAATTAAATCCTGTTGTGTGTTATATTCAAATGAAAACTTTCTGTCAGTTCTTTCGCATATGGTGCAGTGCTATTTGTTTTTTCAAAATTTAGCGAAATAAAAATGGGAAGTTTTGTTGAATTTTGACTCTGGCTACTTTTGAAAGTTAAAGGTCCATAAGGACCCTAAAGTATCGTTCACTGACCTTGGAGAATGTACACATCATTTGCCCAAGCACCACCTTCTCCTTGTCGGCACGCATTGCTCTTGCCATATTTGTTAAATGTTTTCCCAGCAGTCGCACTAGATGCACACCATCCTCCATCTTGAATTGCAAACATCCTGTAACCTTTCTTGCGAGCCGCTAAAGCGCACTTAGCTATCGGGTTTTTACGACTGGAGTATTGACCATCTAAAATGGTATCGTTGCCTTCGAGAGTGGGAATTGCCCGGCTTGAAGTATCTTTATAGCAGCCAAGGTTTTTATAATCTATAAACACAATTATGTTCAAACAGAACATTAATTATTATCTTTTTTTTTTAAAGGGCTGAAATTCGAAGCGAGGTTCTAACAAAAAGGGTAGAGCAAACCCCTTCAGTATGATTTTCAGTGTGTAAGGATAGCTAGAAAGTGGATGCGGGAAAGCTTGTAGTTACAATTTGTTTTTTATCTTTTGAGGATAAGAACATTTAATAGCCAATAATGATTACTGACTAGATGATGATGATGACGATGATTATGATTATGGTTACGATTATGACGATTGACGATGAGGTCAACTGTTAGGAGAAAGAACATTATTGGCATTTTTTCGTCAAGTTGCTTGAAGAATGATGTCTTGGTTTGTTCAAATTTTAATTAAAGAGTGACGTTTCTCACCAATTTCGCAATTGATTCCAGAATATCCAGCTTTACAATGACAAGTATAGCCTCCGACAAAGTTCACGCAAGTTCCTCCGTTTCTGCAAGGATTGTAAGCACTGTAACACTCGTCGATATCTGAAAATTTAGAGGAACAAATGTTTCACCAAATTTCAAGCAGACAGGGTCGGTCTAGGGTGGAGGGGAACGGTTTTGCTATAACAGGATGCTAAAAAAATATCTAAATTCATGGGGATAACAAAACTGAGAGTGTATACAATTTATTACAAATACCATATCTCTGGTCATGGAACAAGCTTACTTTTCGAAGAACGAAATACGAATTTGATGTAAAGAACATGTTTAATTATGAACGAGATAATTACAACAATAAACAGGGTTTCTTGTTAAACACACAAAACTGATATCAATATCATTACCTGTTTGACAATGATATCCCATAAATCCAGGTCGGCAATTACAGCGATAGCTTCCGGGAAGATTTTTGCATCTGCCTCCGTTAATGCATGGCTTAGATTTGCATTCGTCGATATCTTTAACAAAAAAACGACAAAAACCAAAAACATTGATATTGTCATCACTTTATACAGTCTTTTAGTCTGTATCTTCATTAGTTTCTTTAGTCTTGTATTGATTTGTTCATTTAGCGTAAATCTTCAACATTAATTTTAACGGCTCTAACTGCCCCTAAACAAATATTTCGGCAATCATAAGATGTGTATCTTTGAAATACTTTTAGATACTCTTTTAAAAATTAGAAATGACAGTTGTTCCTACCCCTTCATATACTCGAAGCCTAAACAAGTTCCTTCTTTGACGAAGCGCGTACAAGATTGTCACCTTGTTAGGATGGGCTTATGAAGAAAATAAATGGAGCCACAATACCTGCTTCGCAATGTTGGCCATTGTACCCAGATGCACACCGACAGCGGTAACTCCCAAATGTATTCACACACGTGGCCCCGTTTTTACAGGGTTTTCCTTTGCATTCATTTACATCTATGACGGCAAGAATAAAGTCATTCTTAGCATAAAACACTTAGTTTTGTTTAATAACTTTTTGAATAAGCACATTTACACCCTCAAGCACAAAAAATAACTAGTTAACCTTCCAATTGAACAAAATCTGAACTTTCAGTCAACTCCAAGATGGCGGCCATTTTGAATGTTATTGGAGCCAGGGAGCGCTTTATCCCATAATATTAATATAATGCTTCTAGATAAACTGCACAACAGACTTCAGAGTGGAGGCGCTCAGGCGGGTCTAGGCGCGTAAATGCTCAGTGCGAGACATCAAACTCCGTCCTTTGTTCATGTGCACGAGTAGAGCTCGATCAATACACAAGGGCAGTTCCTAGTGCACGCTCTCTTTATGTTATACTATACCTCTGAGAGTTTAAGGCCGAAATTTTTGAGGCTTTTTTAAATTCAGTCCATACTAGCAAATAACCTTGTTGTAAGTTTTTTGGTAAAATATCGCGAGGGCAGCCTGTTAGCTCACCATTGTTTGTTTATTAAGTAAAAAACCAATTACCTGTTTGACAGTTCTTGTTGGTAAATCCTGGTTTACATTTGCAGCGATAACTTCCTTGAAGATTTTCACAGGTAGCTCCGTTCTTGCAAGGGTTGTTATTGCACTCGTTTATATCTGAAAAGTAATCAGTTCTTTTATAAAGCGCAATTTAAACGAAACAAAGCCAACGCAATACATGTAGAAGTATTTATAACTAAACTACGGAATATTAGTACAAAGTACAAAACAAGGAAACGTAGTAGATTTTAAATGTTGCCCTCTCCCCTATGCAATGAAAATATCTTAAACTCTTCGGTTGTATTAGAATCTAACGAAAAGATGTCATAATGTTGTACTATATCTTTCAATCGGTGTCATCAGCGTCTTTAACATGGTCACGAGTAGGATAACAGAATAAGCGAACATTAAAATGAGTAGAAATCAGCTGAGAGTGTAATTGATCAGGTGACGATCAGGTGAATAGTGAAGTTTTTCCTGACCTTTTTCACAGTTTCTGCCTTCATAACCAGATTTGCAATCGCAGCGATAACGTCCTGGAACGTTGACACATTCAGCTCCGTTCTTGCATGGACTCCTTAGGCACTCATTGATATCTGGAAACAGAAATTGTTCACCGGAGTTTAAAGTTGAGTATCATTCTTATCGTCCACGAGAAGGAAGTAAAGACTAGCGAGAAACTTTTTTTTCAATTTCCAGTATAATTTTTTTATATGTTCAAGTATTTTTCAAACCTTTTTGGCAGTTATTGCCGGTATATCCTGATTTGCAATCACAGCGGTAACTTCCATGAAGATTCACACAGGTAGCTCCATTCTGACATGGGTTCTTGGTAGTGCACTCGTTGATATCTATAAAGCCATAGCCAAATATTACACAATCGATCACGATAGTTTTTATATTAACCAGTGGAAGGTTAATTTAAGGAGGACTGGAATTTGAGAAACTTGCCAATAGCGATCAAACTATCAGTTACGACTAAACCGTGCATGAAAGATCATTTAAGAACATCAACAAATGAATTGCTTGATCTATTATTTTATAAATTTATCATGTGGAATATAATACAGTCACCATAACTGCGTTTTCAATGTAACCTATTATTTATTAAGGTATCTGGTTACCAACGAAGGCAAGCTGCGAGAGAACTTCTGTAAAGTTTCCTCTCCAAATATGGCAAAGCAGGTCCTTTTTCATAATCTACACGAAACGATTTCTACATTGTCTACAACTGCTACGTGAGTGATGCTTTTGCTTACTCACCCACCACCATTTTGCAGCACTTTAGTGTGTTAATACAATGCAGCTCGTCGCATCCGCCTTTGTAAATTCCAACAACATAGTAGTCATTCTTTGTACATTCGCTGAGTCCAATATTGTCAAAAGAAGAGCCGATATTTTCATCGTAACAGTCTTCATATCTGTTTGGAAAAGAGTTGGGCTTGCAGCACGTCGCTTCCTCGATGTTATGTAGCCAGGCGTTGTCGTTACGGTAAAAGCCTCTGATAAAGTAACCAGTTGGGCAAACCGCCCAGACATTATTTCTATAATAGCAAAAATACGGGTTATTCGTTATTAAAAAAAAAAAGATAAAAAAAATGCTATTGACCTAAGAATATAGGAGTCTAAAATCCTTTAATAAAGTAACCTGTTGGTTAAATCACCCAGACATTCTTTTAAATAGCAAGAATATGGGTTAAAGTTTTAAATGACTTGATTAAAAAGTTTTTGCAGCAGTTGGCTGTCTTTAAATTATTACATTTTTCAGTCTTTTATGACAATCAAATAGCTGCACTAAATCCTAGAAAGGCTTAAGAAACGTCTATCTAAGGGCGCTTACCAGGCCAGAACTTGCCGGCCAATCGTAAAGAGAATTCAATTTTTAATCAGGACTGACCCCTGGAATTGGGGGGATATTGGCTGGAAGTTTCAGCCAAATGAAAGGCAATAAAAACGATTCCGTGAAGCATAAATTAAACTCGGCGTTGGTTGCTGTTGACTGTGATGTGAAACAACTGAAAAGTTTAAAACTAATTCTGCTATATATTCTATTACATTGCATTCAGCTTTGGAGTACGAAACCCTTACCCATCCAGAATTTTCCACCAGTTAGCTTTTTGACAACTTGATGGCGTATGCTTGTTTGGTGAAGGAGCTGGACAGCATTTTGCTTCCTCTAGCAAATATATCTTGTCGTCTTTTGCTTGCTTGTTTCTCCACAGTCCAGTGATGTATTGTGTTGAAGAGGAGCACTCGACTAATCCTTTGTTATCAAAGGCCGACCACCAGTCTGCCATCGTGCAGCCATCGTCACTCATACTACAACATCTGAATTTTTCGATGCAGTAGACCTTGTCACAAGTTCCTTTATAGAAACCTGCCATGTAATAACCGTTGGCGCATTTTCCCCAGCCTTTCTTGTCGAATGATTTTTCGACATCTTTCTCGTAACAGTCAAGATATCGGTTAGGTAAGTTGTTGGGTCTACAGCAGCTGCCCTCCTCGATGTGGTGAAGCCATTGGCCATCGCCGCGGTATAGCCCCCGCATGAAGTATCCATCCGGACAATTGGCCCAACGTTTGTTGCTAAACAATAAAATGTCAAAGATTAATTTTTTCCCCTTGTTGGCGTTTCCGCCATAAAAAATAGGCCAAAGAAATATATTTTCAGAAATCAGCGAGTTCACTGCTGATAGGGCATTTTACTAAAAGAAATTGATCTCCAAAAACAAACTCATTTGGTAGAATATAAGAAATGTCTAAAAAAAATATATCAAAAACGGACACTGATTTCGTGGACTGGTTGTTAGACAATTACATAACGCCTCTGTTGCGTAAAACACTTCACTACTTTCTGTTGCACGATCTTTTGCAAAGTACCATATTATTTCTATTAACCTAACTAACATTATATAAAAAAGCAGGCTCTGTATTTTGTTGTGAGCAGGCACTCATAAGGTAATTTAAACTGTGCAGGTTTTCGGGTGTGTTCGCTCTTTTATTTACCCTTTTATATTACTATAAATCAGTATAATTCAACCCTCGCCTTGTTTCCCTTGCAGCACCAAATAATCGGCTCGTTACTGACCTGTCCAATGTTTTCCACCAATCTGCTTTCTTACAAAATGACTGCTGATGTTGATTCGGCGAAGGAGCTTGGCAGCACATAGCTTTCTCGATCAAAGAAATTTCACCGTTGTTTCCGTCCGTTCTGTAGAGCCCAGTCATGTATTCCGTAGAGTGATCACATCTCACCCAGCTCTTTTTGTTAAACTTTCCTTTCCAATTTGCTTCTCTGCACTGACCCCAATTTGCCTCTATCGACGGAAGAACGGCTAACAAGAACAGCGCTAACTTCATTATGTGACCAACTGTCATGTCAACCTTTTTCAGTGACAACTAAGGTACGAATAAAATTATCCTCTGTTCCACGCCGTTTATATATGATACTCAGAACGAAAAACAATAGTTTGTTAATTATAAGACATCAATAAAAGTTTCTTTTCAATTGATGATCGAAAAGAATGACATGAAATGAGGAACGCATTTTTCGGGAAAACATGTCAAGTTTTACGTAATACACTGGGGATATAAATGGGTTAAAATGATGAGCGAGCTTATTAGCAATAGAAAAAAGCGTTTTAATTACGATGTCTTCAAATTCTACTGAATAGATGAGATATGGTGAGCCTGCAAATAAATTCTTACTTGCCACCTGATTATGTAACTAGTGAAAGCAAACCCTTTGAAGCAAAAGGCGTGGCTTGGTTTTGAAAAAAAGGCGTTGCAATTTACAACTGATTATATTGCATCAGGAGCCGATGATTGCATATGTTTACTGAAACTGTATAAAAGTGAGAAAAAAAACTGAATTAAGAAGTGAGGAAAATGCTTTGAACAAAACAGAGACAAAAAATAATTATGCAATGCAATACTGACCACCAATTGAATGTTAATGTTAATTACTGTGAGATCGGACTAAAGGGGTGCTTATCCAAAAAGGACCGCTATAATATCTGTATTTGATTAGCCTGCGTTGAAGCCGGACTTGTCACTCGAGACCCAGATAGAGACCTACCAGGGATTTAGACTGTCTGCGACGCAGGCTATACTTGATTGCTATTGTCTTCAAATGCTTCGAACGTCTTACGGTTGCAATCAGTGTAAAAAATAACTTATTTTTAGTCCTTTTCTGTCTGAATTGCGTTTGATTCTATGTTAGTTCGAGTCGCCTGTTCGGAGAATATGTACGCGTAGTACAGGATGTTTTCTTGGAAGTGGTTTTAATAGTCGCTGACACTAAAATAAACGAACCAAACATCTTTGAACGAAGAAAGCTCATCCTTGGTGTAAGAACCTGTTAAACTTAAGGGTAATGTAAAAAAAAACAAAGACGTCAACACAATAGAATCTATAGGAAAACAAAAACAGCAGAACATAGAAAAGTTCACCGGCTCGTACACCGAGGTAAACCCCGAAGAGAGGACTAGATCGATGGTTATCACAATCACAGCCATTTTGACCTCCATCTTAGATTTTGAGTCGGAAAATTCAATTTTTAAATTAAAAAGTTTGGAAACTACGCACATTTTACGAGATTCTACAATCCTGGTCAAAACGTTTGGGACACTTTGTGTTTCAGGTGAGGAAAATGTAATTCAAGTTGACCCCCTCTCCCCCTGGACAGTGTTTGGTGTTACAAACACCTTTTGCATATCTTGCACACGTTAAGGACCTCAAATTTGTTCGGGAGGGGGGGGGGATGGGCTACAAATGGTGGTAGGTTAGCCACAAATTCCATACAAAAACACGTGAAAAAGGGGTGGTGCCTCAAAACCTTTTGACCAGGAGAACCCGATTTTTCACACATTTAAGTGCACACCAATATTAGACTCCATTTCATCACAGATTTTCGCAATTTATTTTCATAAAAAAATTTCCTTTTCTTATCTTATATACATTTCTCTGCTAGCTGAAGCATATTTAGCAATGTAAGTTACTTATATTTATTTTCTCTTAGAAGAAGCAGCCGGCCGTTAGGCATATCCGAAGATAATAAAGATTTTCCGCGGATAAAAAAGTTAAATATTAACATTACTTTTTAACCTTTAGGTTACGTTCCCTGTTTAACTCAGTAAATGGCAAGAGTTGTTGAAACTTAAAAGAGAAAAAAAAGGTTTGACAGTTTTGGATTTTAACCAGCTTCTAGGCAAGCTATGCCAACAGAAGTAGTCTTTTCCAGCCTCCGATAACAAGGCAACGTTAAATCTGTTTCAGGAAAGAAATAAAATAAAGCAAACGTTTCCGATCGAGTTATTACGCGAAAGTTATGGCGAGAAAAAAATGGAAAGAGGAGTAGGGGAGAGTGTTTTCTTTTTGCCCTCTTGTTTTCTAACCCGTACACCACCCCCACCCCGCCCCCAATTGTCTTTCTCTCTCTCGTTCCAACTCTTTCACAGGCTCGCCTGGAAAGGCTTGCCCGTTGGCTACAAAAAGGCTGGGACCAAAAATGTTTCAAGTTTCTCTGAATGTTTGATTCTTCCCTTTGAATTCTATACGTGGAGCCAGAGCCCTCTTTTCGTCTGAACCAAACTTATAGACTCTTTTAGAGTCAACCAGCATTCGGCGATCGGTTTGTACAAGTCACGGCTCTACTCATCGTTTGACATCACGCACGGTATTCAATCGGTTTTGCATCTGGTATAAGGTCAAAACTTGGTGGAGTGTCTGGAAATGTTGGTAAAATGTCACTTTGTAACATGGGCTCAGCACTGTTGTGATATTCTGCAAAGCTTGCAATTTTACATGGTGGTTGAAACGATTCCGCAGTAGTTGATTGCTGTATCTTTGTTTCGGCACAGTTCGCTTCCCTTTTTCGTTTTTTCTTTTTTCTGGGATGGATCTTTCCGTGCGAAAATTTGTAAATGTTTTTGTTCTCAACAATTGTAGTCTCGTCTACTCCGACTTCAAGGATGGCGTATTCAAGATCCAGAAAAGACTGTGAACAAAATATAAATAAGCTAGAGGACTTAAACGTTTCTGTATCCTTTGGTTTCCTTCTAATTCATTAAGGAACTCAATACGCTAACACGTTTTACGGAAAGCTTGACTTACACCCTGTACTAAGTTTTCGAGAACGAAAAAGGTTGTTTTGCGGTCTGGGCGATTGGAAAATATCAAAAATAAAAAAACTGTGACGGCTCTAAAAATACGCGATAAGGTGACACAAGTTTTGGAAAGAAGAATTTCGATGGGTTCTGGGACGGCTGACAAAATGTGGAGATTTTGAGAAGATTCGATCACTCTTTTGGAAAACTGTTTATGGTTGCATTTTCTTAGGGTAAAACAAAATGACCAGCTACAGATCGCTTATTTACAAATCAACATGGTGACACAACATCGATAAATGCAAGCTTGTGTTATATATATGCATTTTCACCTTAGCATAGAGTCCATATATCCGAGAAACTTCTGTCATAGTAAGATGACCGTGCAGTATTTCATCGCAGCGGATGATTTCCACCTAAGGAAATCAAAAGACCTAATTAAAACATTATATTTTCATTTATTAACATTTCCAGCATGGTCTGTGTAATATTTCTTTTCCATTAATCTACGACTTGAATAAAGCACCAAATTGGCGGATTACCTGGTGTGTGCTAGGAATAGCGAATTTCATAACCAGGAATTTCTTGAGCACATTAACAGTCATTGCAGAAGGACATCGAAGATAACGAGTGGGAAATATCTGAAAAAAAGGAAAGAGAAAATGGTATTTTTCGAAGTTCGTAAAAGAGATTCCAAAATCAAGAAATTGAATAATGATAATAATAATAATAATAATAATAACAATAGTAATGATGATGATGATGATGATGATGAAAATGAGGGTGAGAATTGCAAGCACTAATGGTTTTCCTTACCTGCTTTTCCATCCAGTTCCTCTTTCGTCTATTGAGTAAAAAATGATCGATTAAACTATGATTAAACTCAGTCACATATCAAGGAGGTCAAACTTTGGCGTTGTAATGCCTCCTACAGAAATTCTGTATTTCCATACCTGTAATATTCCAGTGTTATACAAACTGGATCTTTCATTTCAGTATGCTGTTTGTTCTTCGTTTCATTCTCGGTAGAAATTTCCTCTGAAAATATAAAATGTTATTTCAGATGATCTGATACAGTGTAACTAGTAAATAAGTAAAGGAACGAGGTAAGCCGATCTTCACACTTGCAACAGTTGAAACGATTATTTCCACAGAATTAAGGACAGTTACCACAAATAAGAGGCTATAATCTCATTCCTGTGGGGACCACTAGGGTGACGGAGTGGGTCGCATCACGCACAGAACGTTGAAGCTCCAGCTAGGGTGTTAGGTGTCTAGCTAATGGTATCCAATTTGGGAAAATAAAATAGCCCCCAAAATAACATGAAGGCTTTCCTTTTCTTACTCGAACATAATTATGGTTGATTGTACAACGAAATTAAGGTAATGCGACGATAGGAGAGCAGCCTCCTGTCATTCGAGCGCACACTCGACTTGACTGACTGAGAAGGGAGCTGCCACCAATCTCCGACTCAATCCCATCTCAATAGATTCCTGGAAGAAGCCCTTAATCTTCAAGCATAAGTGAATCAAGATATTGGGGGTTAGAGTGGTTTTCGTTTGAGTGTCGTAAAACCAAAACCAAAGTAATTACTCTGGCCAATCACATAGGACACAGACAATAAATTGAACCAATCAAAACTCGAAGTAATTACATGTGGCTGACGCAAAGCGCGGGAAAATGCATGCGAGCGCGTCACAATTGGCTTTGGTTTTTCACGGTAAGGCCCTCAAAGTTGTTCGGGAAGGGGGGGGGATGGGCTACAAATGGTGGTAGGTTAGCCACAAATTCAATACAAAAACACGTGAAAAAGGGGTGGTGCCTCAAAACCTTTTGACCAGGAGAACCCGATTTTTCACACATTTAAGTGCACACCAATATTAGACTCCATTTCATCACAGATTTTCGCAATTTATTTTCATAAAAAAATTTCCTTTTCTTATCTTATATACATTTCTCTGCTAGCTGAAGCATATTTAGCAATGTAAGTTACTTATATTTATTTTCTCTTAGAAGAAGCAGCCGGCCGTTAGGCATATCCGAAGATAATAAAGATTTTCCGCGGATAAAAAAGTTAAATATTAACATTACTTTTTAACCTTTAGGTTACGTTCCCTGTTTAACTCAGTAAATGGCAAGAGTTGTTGAAACTTAAAAGAGAAAAAAAAGGTTTGACAGTTTTGGATTTTAACCAGCTTCTAGGCAAGCTATGCCAACAGAAGTAGTCTTTTCCAGCCTCCGATAACAAGGCAACGTTAAATCTGTTTCAGGAAAGAAATAAAATAAAGCAAACGTTTCCGATCGAGTTATTACGCGAAAGTTATGGCGAGAAAAAAATGGAAAGAGGAGTAGGGGAGAGTGTTTTCTTTTTGCCCTCTTGTTTTCTAACCCGTACACCACCCCCACCCCGCCCCCAATTGTCTTTCTCTCTCTCGTTCCAACTCTTTCACAGGCTCGCCTGGAAAGGCTTGCCCGTTGGCTACAAAAAGGCTGGGACCAAAAATGTTTCAAGTTTCTCTGAATGTTTGATTCTTCCCTTTGAATTCTATACGTGGAGCCAGAGCCCTCTTTTCGTCTGAACCAAACTTATAGACTCTTTTAGAGTCAACCAGCATTCGGCGATCGGTTTGTACAAGTCACGGCTCTACTCATCGTTTGACATCACGCACGGTATTCAATCGGTTTTGCATCTGGTATAAGGTCAAAACTTGGTGGAGTGTCTGGAAATGTTGGTAAAATGTCACTTTGTAACATGGGCTCAGCACTGTTGTGATATTCTGCAAAGCTTGCAATTTTACATGGTGGTTGAAACGATTCCGCAGTAGTTGATTGCTGTATCTTTGTTTCGGCACAGTTCGCTTCCCTTTTTCGTTTTTTCTTTTTTCTGGGATGGATCTTTCCGTGCGAAAATTTGTAAATGTTTTTGTTCTCAACAATTGTAGTCTCGTCTACTCCGACTTCAAGGATGGCGTATTCAAGATCCAGAAAAGACTGTGAACAAAATATTCTCTGGCCAATCACATAGGACACAGACAATAAATTGAACCAATCAAAACTCGAAGTAATTACATGTGGCTGACGCAAAGCGCGGGAAAATGCATGCGAGCGCGTCACAATTGGCTTTGGTTTTACTTCTGACTGGATGAAAAGGTGGCGCGAATCTTTTAAGCCAATCGCATCGTGTAGAAAGTGCAAAACCAATTACTTTTCGACACTCAAATGAAAACCGCTCTAATCAAATCTGAAAATTGCTTTTTAAGTTTGCTTAAACAAACAGCTGAGCTTTTGAATTACAGTATACAATAGCCAGCCACGGTTGTTAACCGAGTTACATATATCAGTTAAGTCACGTTTCCAAGCTATTACACATTAATTGATCCTCGGCATAATAGTGGCACGCCCTGACAAAATGGAGGCCTTTCATCTTACCTTCTGAGATATTTTCTTGCCTTTGTTTGTCTTCGAAGTTCTCTCGAAGCTTTAATTCACCTACGCATTTTAAAGAAAAAGTGAATGCCTCCATGATTATTTAAAACCTCTCTCTGTGTGTTTTCCGCAGTTGCATAAGATATCGCTTTCTTCAAAGAAAATATTTTCCAAAATTGTTTGAAAGCAGCGACAAGTTCAGTTCATCTCCCAACACCGACAAATTATGCGGCCAGGGACCGCAGCAAGAATCTTGATGCATCCTTAAATGATTATTGCCGTGGTATGGGTCTAAACTCGATTGCTGCAAGGTATGTTAGGAAGGTTTTGAGGCATTCAGCCTATCAGAGCCGACGACGATTTTGTAGCATGTGAACAAAAATGAACTTACAAACCTTTTAAGACATTGTTAAATTGACAAACTATACACATCACGTTGTTTGCCAAATTTTTTGACTGCATGAAAGATTTTCCGTCATTAACCTCGAATGCGGGCTACTATGGTAAAAACGATTATTAATTATAAGGTATATGAAAATACCTCAGACATCAACATATTGTTCGGGTCTTCACATGACGTCACTAACATTCAAACTACAAAACTATCGATCCTACTGAGATTTTACTTTCATGGTCTACTAGAGCAGCTGAAAACTAATTTTCAAACAAATGTTAGTTTCAAAATGGTTCTTGGTTTTGTTATAGAGTACGCTTGAATTTCTAAGCTTTTGCGTGACGCAGCATTTACATGAAGGCCGAGAGAGCTGTCACTTAGGTTAAAAAAGTGACTTTTTTTGAGGAATTTTACTATCTAAACAGTTCAGGTATTAGAAAAAGTATTACTTTAATGTTTATGAGTTCCTCTAGGAGCAAATTCACGCTTTTGTAGCAAAACTCGGTAACAGGTGTTTCTGTTGGTTTCCGTCCGCCATGTTGGAGCTCATCCGGATGAGCTCCAGCATGGCGTCTCCGTACAAAGCTCCTCTAAATTTCGGTAAAACATTTCCTCGGATATCTCGTATACGAATTATTCCTTCGACCCAAATCTTGGCGGGGGTCTTTGTATATTTACCTCCTTTCATTTCCCAGATTCTGGACTTTATCTGTCGAATGGTTTTGATTTTTATTTTGATCTATTTTGAATGGCGTGATACTGAAAACTAGCAATTACGTGCATTGCCATATTTGCATAGAAATGTGGTACACATAACCACTGGAGCATTGATAAAGACAGAACAAAATTTAATGTTTATTCAACAGCCAACAAAAATTAGCTGAATATTGTTTAATTGAAGTATTGAACAATAAAAGTATAAAAATCCAATCAGCCTTGCATTTTTACTGTTTCTATTTCTTTGTTCAGACACTGCTGCTCCTAATCTACACAAGAACCCGACAACATTTTCATTTCGCTGCTGTTGTTGTGTCTAACAAGGTCCTTACAGTATTTCTGATTAAGCGAAGGTGGAAATAGTTCATAAGTTCATAACCCCACCCACCCGTTAAGACTTAACTTGGGGATTTGCGAGACATATATTTCTAGTTTAAGACTTTACCTTGGTAGAGGCCTGGCACAAGTTTGTACACAATTTCTTGCAAAGTTCGGTCTGGTCTAAGAGTTTAAAAAAGGGAAAAAAAGAAAAGACAATTAATCATGCAACGTATAAATAAGCATTCATCGCGTTGCCTTTGGCTAAATATAGCTAAATATGAGCCACGTCGAGATCTTCAATGGCAGACGATTAAGCTAACAAAGCCGTTAAAAGGTGTGGTAGCTTCTTATTCACCTCTACTGATTCGACGCTTATTAAGACAATCACCGTGGGAGGGCATTCTTTAGCCCTCACGCAGGCTAAACTCATCGAATACTGCAACGTGGACGTAGACATAGGGCCAATTAACTCCACGCAATAATTTTGTGTTCGTTCCAAATCGACTTCCAAATCTGTTCGCCAGACGACCTGAAATGACCCGTCCCCTCCCCGCAAAAGTCGGCCCCATTGACGGGGGAGTGGGACATGCAAAGCTTTCTGAGAGTTCCGTCCGCCAATTAGTCTTTGTTCGCAGAGATGGAAGGTATTTCTCGATTGTGCGTTGCCCTCACGGGCAGTCCAATAATCAGTCTTCACTTACAAACATTTCAAAACTTCTAATTACCGAATGTGCAGCAAAGGCTTCGTTTTATGGACTTCAACATCACAAACGGGGCAGTGAAATGAGTTGTGAAGATATTTCACGATACAACTGCGACAAACTATGATATAAAGAAACAAAAACGGTTAGCAATAATGACTGTATCAAGGACATCCATTTGACAGGCTCTTCGCCTGAACTGCTACATTAAGTACCAAAAATTGCTAGGATGAAATACTTACAGGAATGAAGACACTCCACAATTGTGGTAGCATCCACTAAATATCCACCACATAAAACACACAGAATATGAGAGTTGAGATCTTGTAACTTCATGGAGCGTAACATTTCCAATTCCTGATACTCTCGATGTATTGGCACGGTTTGATTCACTGCAACAAATAATACAGTATCAAATTATGTTTTTAATCATGATGAAAAGTGGTTTCCGTGCCTGGCTAATGCTTGCAAAGTATTGTCAGAAAAGGACGTTCCTTCATCGAAAAAAAACCTTCATAGCTTACCTCATTCCTCCCGTAAAACCGGGGAAATACGCTCCCGGTTATAAGCGCATGTATTTGCCCGAATTTTTATTTCGGAAATAACTCCCTCGGCCGGCTAATAAGCTTCCCCCGAGTAATAGGTACATCATTCGCAAGTACCCGTATATATACTTTCTTTTGTTGTGTTCAAGTCACAGTTATAGTTAAATTTCTCATCTTTTTTCTTCTTGCGACATAAAGTAAGCGTCTTAATCAGCCTGTTTCGAGTCTTGATTTTTATTTCAATACAAGACGTCCCCCTTTCCGGCCAAATACCACTTTCTAAGATAAGCCTTATTCCCGCACGTAAACCCAACCAAAACCCATTACGAAATTATATATAAGCCCAGAGCCTATAAACGGGATTTTACGGTATTTTAAAGTGCACTCTGTTAAACATCAGCCCTGTTTATAATGCTGTGATTTCGATTATAAATAGAAGATGCGCTTAATAAGCATCGCACGCCCATCGGGCGTAAAAAAAAAAAAAAAAACGAACTGTACCTAAGTAGGGTGGACAGACAGTCTGTAGTTTTCTCATCACCTACCCCGGCCTGTCAGGGTCCGAAATTGCGCCTTCCTGGACGCCAACGCGACTAAAAATTTAGTCCTGGCGACCAGAAATTTCATAGCTGGTTGACTTGTAAAGCTGGTTGTTATTGTGGACTTTAACGGTCGGAGAAACTGATTAAGAATTGAAACCTCGAAGCGATTTGCAGCAGGTGTCTTACTTTTTGTCCTGCTGATATTTTTTAATTAAAAGGGAAACGAATCTTCCCGTAATAATACCTCCACAACAGCTACGATCAATACGACGTGTTTCGTGGTAGTTATCGGCCGAAAATAGAGTTTTGATATGATCAGTGCAGTCATGGGCAGACTCTCTGTTCCTACGTCACGTTCTAGGTCAGATAGCTTTATATCTCCAAAAAGTAAATAAGACTTCACCCGTACACGTACAGTTGCTTTCTGCTATCGGGAGCGGAAGTAGTGCAATTTTTGAGCATAAAAACGTCCATACCATGCATTTTTTATTCGTGTTTAAACTTTATTTGAAAAAAAGGGAGGGGGAATTTTTGGCGACCAAAAGCTTCTACTTGATCACCAGTTGGCGCCCATATTAAAACTTTAAATTCGGACCCTGCATGTCTATATTTCCCCCTTCGCTCCAAGTTTTTCGCTTGACCGCTGGCACTTTCTTGAACTACGGAAAAATATGGGCTATTTTGCAGTCTACATACTTAGATCCTGGGTTTTTTGTTTTGCTAAGAAAGAAAGAGTGCGGTCCAAAGTTTTCCTGTCTTGCTACAGGATAAGCCTGGGTCTTGGATTCCGAATTCGACGGACGTATAAATACGCATTTATCGCGAAGAATTTACACCTTCTCAGAGGCAGAGCTTCCACAGCCCAGCAGGGACGAGGTTGGCTAAAACGGTCTTGGATTCCTGATTCCAGGTACTGGATACCGGATTTTTTTCGTCAGTTATTCAGCGGAACTTGGATTCCGGATTCCAGTCGATAGTGGGGTTCCGGATTCCTTGAGCTGTATTCCGGATTCCAATGCCCTGATTCAGGTTTCCACAAGCAAAAATTTCCTGGATCTCGGAATCCGGATTCCCTTGGGTGCCTCTTAAAATATACTTTGAAACCTCTATTTGCGTTAAAGATAAAAGCCAATTAATCCCTGAATAACTGGAAAACAACCATACAGAAAAAAAGGGCCGATTTGGTTGATAGAATCGGTATCGTTACAAACACTACACGAATTTGCTGAGAAAGAAGATCTAGTTTTGACTGAAGACTTTTGGCTAGACCTTAGGCTATTGTTTAAGAATATCTATTAATGCCTAATCTTATACTTAATTTGTAGTTTCGGCGATAAAAAGTTATTACAGTAACATTTAATTAAAGGCTGGTTTCAATGTGATCGACGTAAAAAAACACTGAAAAAAACAATAGGCAATAGTAGCGATTATATGGTAACAACTGTTAGTAATGAGAGAGAATTGACTTCTCTCTCACCGATCGCCCATATCGAAATGATAAAGAATCACTTTCTAGCAATCATAGCGAGCATTGAGATGATTCGGTACGTTTATTCAAGTCGGTATAAAATCGCTTAGCTTTTTCTATACAGAATCGTAACGGTCAAGGCGATAATACTGCGTATATCAGCAGAAAAAACCCCTTCAGCAATCGTAGAACTCACAACGATGGCCGTCGATCAGCATGCATGGTCACTGACTGGCTGTAAAGTCCAATCTTACGGGCTAGTTTCGTTCAGATTGTTTCAAATAGAATCAACTCTGACTCAATCACTGGGAATCGTTACGATCGCTAGGCAACGGTCCTATCCATCGTTGCTCAAATGAGAACCAGTCTTAACGGCATTATTAAGGAAAATCCTGTATAAGAGTTGAATTCATGGCGACCTTTCAAACAATATTTGATTATCTCGCAATTAAGTGCACGTCAAGTTTTAAGGAGCTGGTGATGATCCCGGTGATAACTCGAAGGCCGGGTAATAGCTTCTTTCAGAGCCTTTTTTTAAATTCGATGTTTAATTCCACTGAGCGGTGTACGCGAGTTATATCCGTTAACATAGAAAAACCCAAGCAATGCAACATGCAATGAAAAGAAGATTTATTGTAAGAACTGAAATGAGTGAAAGATTTAGCGCTAACTTCCGCTGAAAAATCGAACTGGTTGACTTGTGGCCCGTTCCTTAGGTTGCAGCTTAGCAAGCGTTTCCGATCGCCAAGAAACATCACTGATTGTGGCAAAGTTGGAGCGAGAGCTCTCGTCCTCAAATTTCTTGACCAACTAGCGCGGAAACGCTTGTTAAGCAAGGAAACGCTTTGCGAGACAGCTGATGAACACCCGAATATAAACGTTTCTTTTAGCTGCAGTCTCGTGTGAAAGATCCCCTCTATCTAATACTGCATCGGTCCTTTTGTTACCGGTGTGAAATGAACATAACCTTCATGGATTTCATACTACCCCAAGGGTTTAAGCATTCATAAAAACGTCCATTTTAACACCTCAAAGTTCGGGAAAAGTCAAAGAACGCTGAAAGAATGAGAAGGGGAGAATGTGGTAAGGTTGCTGCGATAAAGTATTTTTCAACTTAAAATATGTAAACATTTCGATTTATGACTTCTGTTAATTATATTCTTTTCCCTATATAATATACATTTAGGGAAAATGGACAGAATGGACAACGATTTTCTCAACTCAAGAAATGAAAAAGAAGCAAACATGATAGTGAACTCTGATAAATCTGGGATAGTAGCAAGCATTAATTCCAGCGTAAAATTAGCAAAAACCAAAGACCGTGATAGCACGTCGTATAATCGCGTTACAAAATTTTCTTCAGACTGTGTCAAAAACGTCTGTCATCTGAAGAAATGAACTTCGGGAGATGTGTACAGAATGGTAGACGGTCTAATTTTACATCAAGTAACTATAAAGGATACAGAGAAGCTGCAGCTGGATAACGCCTGTTTCCTATAGCCATATATCCGATATGAATTGAATACAAAATGAACTCGATGACTCGAACTGAATTGTTCTTGCAGACTCTGGTCTCAATATTTTCTCTCGGTATGGTGAAGAGTTAATTTTGCTTTTCTTTTATCCGTTTTCCTCAGTGGGCAGAATTATGGACAAAACAGTATACACTGAAGCAATGTTTAAATACAAAAAGTGATTATACGGTAACCTGAAAATACGATATGAGGCAACAACTTTAACCCGGCTGGAGGTACGGCAGCGAGTGTTGAACTTGTTGCGAGTTTTATTAACAGTTTTGAACGCATATTTGCTATTCGCTTCATTTCTGTCTTTGAATGAAGCTGGAAGGGTTGATAACGCAAAAGACTTTTTCTACAATTAGCCGTGATCTGACCAGGGGCAAAAACATGCTTTCTATTGTAAAACTACTTTCATTAGAGGTGAGCGGTAGTCACGGCGTCATAGTGTTAAACTCGCGGTAACTGGAAATTCCGGGGAAGTAGATCATTAGTCAAAAAGACCCAAAAAGATAAACCAGTTTTGTAACCTAAGCTGAACATTATAGCTTTAAACTCTGGAATAACAAAGAGAAATTCTTTAGCAGTTTAATTTGATTGATCGGCAAGTTACTTTCGAATTCCCCTTTACGATGATGGGGGTCATAAAATTCCGGTTAAAGAAGGCACGCAAGATGCGACACAAAACCTTTTTTAATCGGACTCGAAAACTAGGCAGAAAGTGAGTACATTTAAACCAGTTATCGTCCTAAAAGATACGCTTTCTATTACTGTTTAGTCTAAGTAGTTCACGTTCAACTCACGTTGACTGAACCAATATCCAAATCGGCCGCATAGATGGTTGACGTTCACGAATCTAAATGGGACTTTGCTGATTCAAGAATTAACTCGAAGATTAATCGACGTAGGCTTTTATGGAAAGGCTATTTATGTATGTAAGATGCTGAAATAATGCACAAGCGAAACACATAAATTCTTCAGAAATATTATTTTCCGGTCATTATACCAACACCTTTTCTCGCTCCGCTGCAAAGCCCCGACGACTCCGGCCACATGAGCTCAAAAAACATCGCAGATAAATTGACAGAAATTAAAAACCGTTACTAATGATGCTTCTTTTGACATCACCAGAGAGCGAATGAAACATGTAAAATTTGAAACGCTTGAAAATGAAATGCGGTTGCGACTCAAATGATGCTTATTAGCTGGGGATGAATAGTTTTAAGGTCGGTTATTAGCAAGCTGAACTTAGTCTTGTCAGTAGTCTCTATAAGATAAATGACCTTGTTTGCTAGCACAATCACGACCTTTATCCGAGAAT